GAGATTATGGTTTCGAAGTATAATCATGTTAACACTGCTTAGGTATCGCGTAGTGACTTTATGGAATTACCGAGGACATTATCGACTGTTCGAAACAAGATCAAAGTCGTATTTAAGTAAAAATAAGGGACAAAATATGAGGAGTGTTACATGTGCTCGATAATTATTACAATCTGAATTATAAAATTGCATTAATCCATTCACTGTCAGACAAATTTAAAGCATTTTCCCTTGGGCTCCAAGATTTAATACAGGTGTGTAGTCTAGGTTATTATTTTGATAATAAAAAGTGATATTAAATTTGTTGTTTGAAAAAGAAAATTTAATTTCCTGACTCGAAAGACTACAAGTTTATCCCTTGAGTAATTGCAATCAATTTAAAGTACGAGACAGTTGGCAGCCGAGACGTAGTTGGCAGTGAATGGGTTAAATGTCACATCGAAAAGCTGTTTCAAGTAACTGTCCGATGAAATAAACACAGCAAATAAATGACAATAGGATGCTCCTATTTCCAATCTTTTATTCGAATGAAAGTTTGCCCATTTCTGGTACAAAAGCGCGGAACAACGAGGGAAGAAAGCACAAAGGAATTTTCTGAAATCTAAATGCAATTTTTCATCGATTTCTGTCAGTAACAGTTGACGGGTAAAAATGGAGGACTCGAGAGAAATATTTCCAAAACAGAATGATCGATACCATCCATGAAACACGTTGGCAGTCGTATCGCGAGGTGAACGAAAATAATAACTCAAATTTCGTTACCAACACGATACGAAAAACTAACGATATGATATGCACTATTAATTTTCACGGACACGGAAGAAAAGTCGTTCGAAGGAAAACACGAAACAATATCATCCTCGTTTTTCTACCAACGGCGACGGTGAATTATGAACGCGAGGGGTACTGTTTCCCCACAAAGCATGCATAGAAGTGCGTTCCCCTGCGACGTACGACCCCGTTTTTAATAATTAAACAAACAGCGAGCGCTCGAAACGGCACGATAGAACGCATACGTGGACGTGACCGCGAGAAGCAATTTTATCAGGTTGGTCTAGAAAATATTCCGCGTCGCGCAACCTCAATTCACGGAGGTGATGATGGGTAGAGACAAATATACTTCAATTATAGGAATTAATTCTGCAATATTCGCCGTATTAAAGGTTACAGAATTCTGTTAGAACTTTGTGATGGAAACACGAATTTTGCACAGCAGTAGTGTCAAAGAAATTCTTGGACCGGTTTGTCAAACACTGTCTGTATTAATCATCTCTGGTACGATGTAGTGTATCTGCTGCCCATGATCTGTATGAATGTTGTTTATGGGAAAAGATTTGTAACTGAATCGAAAATATTTTCTTGTGAATTCTACTATACATATAGTCAGAATATTTACGACTTAGATTCTCATATACAACCCTCTACCTCATAACGCATAATTTACAAGTTATTCAAACCAACCGTACGCGAGGTGCATCGCACACTCTTGGCAGAATAAAACGCAGCGATTCCATCGCTTTGATTCGCTACCACTTGCGAGCGTTTACTTTGGAGCACTCCTTTTTTCTGCATTTCAACCCCATTTCGCGCGAGGGACGTAGGCCCCGCAGGCGGTCACCGTCACTGGAAGCGATTTATGGAGATGGCGACTACTTTTCAAACTGCTATCGAACGACCAAGGGCCAATCATAATTTCCGTAAATCCGATCCGCGCCAATTATAATAAGAATTTACGAGCATTTCGACCTACGGCTGGACTATCGACAAAATGTCATCCGAGGGGGCGCGAGAGGCGCGATGCACTTCTTCGTTATCCGATTCCATCTCGTCTCCGTCCCCTCTGGCCGACGCGAAACGGCCAATGGATTTACGAGGGTAATTGCGGATGCTTCCTCTAGGGTGAGTATTCGTCGCAACTACGAACCAACTGTACCACCCTCTTTCGTTATTCTTATTCTGTTCCCGTTCGTTGGCCGCAGGCGTCTTCTCGATGAGTTTGCCCGAGTTTTTGGTACCGTTCCCGGAAGTGTTCGGTCGACTTTGTCGGATCTAGGCTTTCAATGGTTTTAGCGACGTCCACGATGCTCAAAAGCGGCAAGAGTCGATACACCAAGTCGAATGGACGAGAAAAAACGAATATCTAACTTTACAATTTTTATTTTCGAAACTACGCGTCCTATGAATAAACTGTACATATAAAAAAGCTTCGCTTCATCATCCCCTATGAGCTGATATTTTTTAAACCACGAATACAAACATGTCTCTGAGCCCTTTCCTAGAGTATCGGTGTATATACACCCTGCACAGCCAAAGGATTGATAAGGATGATCCATTTCATCTGTTGATAATGTGAGGATTGCAGAAATATGTATAAACTTACCATGATTAATTTGGAACAAAGTAATTGAGATTGTCTAATTAAAAACGACAACATGGAACATAGAAATTGTGTGTACTCTACTTTCCCAGATAATTCTGATCATTGAAACTGAATTTCATTTAATCTCTTCAGATCCTCGGTGTACCTTCAAGGCATTACCTTTCAGCGACCGCAAGAACTTTGCATCCCGCTAAATCCAATCCCACTGACAGCGAGAAATGTTCGTCGCCTTTCATCTCGCATTAACGCAACCCGACTTTAATTTCGCTGCAACGCGCACAGCGTTTACTTAACAGGTATGCGTCTGCGCAGTGCAGCGAATATAAACGCATCTAGAAGTGGTGTACACGACCTACAGCCAAAAATGCAAATGCAACGTTGTGACTATCGAAACACTACCGCTGTCGCAACAGTAAATTTTTGTCACGAAACGTTTTTGATTTTTAACGCATAAACCCTCTTCAAGATAAGAATTTTGTTCATCTTTGCGCAGCAAACCGAATGCAGAATACTCGACGCGAGAACCTGCATTATTCGAAGGTTCAATCGGTGTTTAATCAGCAGGATTATCAGAAAACACGTTATCGTTTCTGGAAGCGGCTCCGGGCGCGGATGGAAACGAATCTTTGTCTCTCGTCCCGAGAAATTTTAACGACGATTCTTCGACAGGTCTGCGCTACGACGCGACGCCGACGTTTCAACGGCGAAATCCACATAAACCAGCTCAATTCGCAGCGAAACGTGTCAAACTAATTTTCACGGAGCGTTACATAGTGGATGTGCTAGATATCGCCTCGAAGCACGACACTTTCGACTAATCTGCGTCAAGATGCTGGCGTTATGCAGCTTTACGCGCCGTTGGGGCTACGACTTTAACTTTGTTTAAGCAATTATACTAATTGTATTCATAATTATGGACCGGTTAGATTTCGAGAAGTGAGAAGCTAACTTCCTCGTACTTAATCCGCGCGTAGAGGATGGTGTTGGTGGTTTCGAAGATAAAATTTGAAAAAATTGTATTTTTATGTACCAACCTATTGGTACAAAACATTTAGTAACATTTTGGTATTTTTAGATCAAATTAATAACCATGAAAATAGTATTTAACGAAGAATAATGACTAATTACTCATACATTCTGACAGCAAAATTTAAACAACATAATATTGTCTCGAACGTGACAAAAATGGAGTTGAAAACATTGTACTATATCAAGACGCAAGAACCAACTAACGATTAATCACTTTCTTGTAATCTAAAAATACTTGAGGAAACCATCAATCTCACAGCTCTATTAAAAAGTAACGATCAATGAATTTAAACTTGCTGATTACAACACTGGTTATTTTAAAATATTATTCCCTCGATGACAGATTCACTAGCGTCACTCCCATCGCAGGTGTAAAGCCATAAAATTAAATTCATGACGCAACACACGATTACGCTGTTCGACAGGCCTAAACGTTTAATTAATCGATTACGTCGTAACTCAAGGATTGTATTATGAAACTCGAATTAAGATTCTCTGCTTCCACTTCTGTAAGCTTCTCTCAACGATAAAGCATGTACGATCACCCTGTGCTTATATCATTATTGCCTATTCTTCCAATAATAGTATGAAAGATCACAAGCAATGATTGAATGGAAAATTCTACGATGTCATCATTCAAAACGGACACTTCTTCGACAATCTTGGCGAAGAATTTCAGAAATTTCTCATGGAACAAGGAAACCATTCTACAATGCCTGATACTTTTCTCGCTAACGAGATGGCTGCTTTTCATGTGTTCACAGAATACCATGGACTAGAGAACAGAAATACCACGTCTATGTTGTCATTCATGATACTTCGGGAATATAAAAAAAGAATGCGTAGGATTTAATGCCTGGCCAGATTTCCGAACGAAGAACGGAACATCTCGTGTATTGACGAATCGTTCCATGGTACCGACACGAAACCCTGAACTCGAAGATTTCTTTACGACGCAACTTTAAGATGGATGTAAAACTCGAGCCTGTTTAAAATTCATAGCGCTTTACAAACACGTTTCGGGTCACTGACAAATTAAGCGGAAGAAAAATTCGAAAGAGAAAGGTTGAAGGTTTTCTCTTAGCAAATCGTACTATCGTACAGATTTCGATATTAAGAATCTTGCATTGGTAATTGTGTAATTATATAGCTCAACAGTTTCTACTATATACACTTTTGTTAGGAAAGCTATTCATTATTGTCAATTATTTGTTATCATATATTTAGGACATTCTGCATAATTTCAGAATTTTGTTTTTAACCTACTTCGAAAAGGAGGGGGTTGCTCAATTCGACATGTATTTTTTTTTCTTTTTTTTTGCTTTAAACAGACAATTGGATGTAATTATATGATACGTGAACCGTATAAGCTGACTGTCGAAACATTTGAATGAAAACTATGCGTGTTCAAGCAGCAGCAACGACGATCCACATCGTTTCACTATTCACAAGCGATATCTTCTTCATTTGTTTGATAATAATTAGCAGAAATCGTGTCCAAAGAGGACACAGACTCTCTTCCAAAAAATCTTAAGGGATTCCTCGCTGAGAAGAAACGGAGTGAGAGAGAATCGAAGGCACGGGTACTCACCCAAATAGTTGTCTCCAGCCGCCGGTTGGCCCAGAAGAAACAGCAAAACGATTGTCAGCATGATGACACAAAGTCGCTCGGCCTTAAGACAGGAGCAATTATCGTCTTGACATCCGGTACACCGCGCACTGCTCAGTCGACGCGACACAAACACCAGCACATCACCCGCGCTTTGTCACTGACGCGTGGGCCAAACGGAGCAAAACACTTTCGTGGAACACCACAGCCAATAGAGAGACCGTAGGAGTCAGACCTCGAGCGACAGTCGCGAATTCGTCAAAGTCAGATCGTCGGAATCGACCGTCTCGACGGTCCGTTTCCCCGCGACACGCATATTAGACCGAATCCCAACAGTTTGACTCGCGACGATCTTGCCCAGCCTCCCGCAGGATCAAGTTGACTTCTCTACCAAATGTTTTCTAATATTTACCACCGCCACGAACGATTTTACACGTGATTACCGTCGACGACTACTCGAGAGTCGATCACAATGAAACGACGCGTCGTTCGCACGTTCTCCAAGCACCGGCTACCACGTGGTTACTCAAACTGGCACACGTTCATGTGAGTGATTCACTTGATAAACAAAATTTACCACGTATTATCCACGATTAATAACTCCCTGTACTTTGTCGCGTAAGTTTACTGTCTAATCACGGGTAATTTTCATCATTGCTCAATCACACAAGTTTATACATATAATCATGTTTGCTTGCTGGACGTTGTTCTTTCCGTTGCACCGCATTGTTCTTTTAAATTAATTTTAATTCGATGAATTATATCGGTTTTTAATTATCGAATTATCTGTCGGTTTATATAGATTTATGTGATTAGGGGGTAGGTTTGTCTTCCGTAGAAGACAATCATCGACGAATATCGATGTTGATCAATTCATCCCCTGTGAATGAATAGATTTTTTTAAAAACACTATTCACTGATACAAGTCGATAGAGTCGAGGATCACTGTTTCCGTGATTTTTGTGAGAAATTCGAACGAGAACCGCACTGTTTACGTCAAAATTATCAACTGTGTGACAAGAATCGATATTTCGAAAGATCGAAAGGGATGAACAAGATACACCAGGTACATTCGGTTCGACGTTCGGCGCGCGACTGACGGCTGGGACGATTTCAAACTGGGCGAAGCGTGACGTCAGGACTGGTACGCATCCGCGCGCCGCGTGCCAGCCAATCGGCACACGGCAGGCGCTTCGACAATCTTCGTTTGTCCCGGAAGCCGAGGACTCCGACGACGATGATCATGACCTCGTGAATCTTGGCCGCTGGAAACGATCTGTGTTGGGCATATTATCCCTTTGACTGCGAACAGCGTATGTACACGTTCTCTATCCATTAGTTTCTGCAAAAGTGCAAGCAATACACGTATAAGTAAGTATGAATGCGTTAAATCAACAATTAATACTTCACATATTCAGAAATATTACTTTCTCAAAAAACATTAGAATAACAATCTGAAACTTTGAGACGTAATAAAAATGAATACCTTCGAATTGATTAAACATTTATAATGTACGTAGTTTAGTATTCGATTAAATATTGATAACAATCACGGTTCAGAATATTCAACCAGTTTACAATATTTAGAACATCTTTAAAAACTCTTGCAATGCAATTTCTTCGAAATGCAAGATATTTATGTTATTACATCAACTTCTAATAGACCTATAAATAAAACTGCTCGACCTTCGCAGCCTCCCCTAAAGTTTAATAATCTTGAAAGGAGATAGATGGTCGCATGAATCCTCAGGTGTATCATGATCCATGACGCTGATGCGGCATCTGTCACTCGCGAATCACGATTTACATAATAGAGTTTTCCAGCCATATTGTTCTTTTTGCATTGGGATCCCCAAAAGACAAACTACGAGATTGAATCTAGTAAACGAAAAAGAAATCCGTTCGAATTTACGACACTTTCTTACACCCGAAACTACTTTTAACTCGGGTCTCGAGAAGTTTATCTCTCGACGTACAAATCTTGATTTGTTTTGGAAATGGAGCCAGTGGTCTCTGAGACGAAGACATTTTGAAACAGAGAACTTAACAGGCCAACGAAAACTTGAAAACTTTCATTGGAATAGAAAACAAAAAAGGATGTACTTTTACCGAACATACATTCTCGCCCCGATCCTCGGGAAATAGAATTTCCATAAAAGAATTTCATAAGCCAGTAAAGCGTAGTAAGCGTTGTTAGGGAACAGGAAGTTCGCTCAAATCTTCGGGGTCCACCAAACTCTGCAATTTACAGCGACGTCCTAACTATAATTGTCAGGTAGAACGTTGGCGATTGTCGCGAATGTGATAGGACGTTCAAGGAGTCCAATACCTGACAGGATACACAGGATTCTATTGAACGGTTCCCATTCACTCGAGAGAAAGAACACTTTCAATTACTCTATTGTTCATTTATGCGTGAAATAGTTATTCGAGTACTAAACAAATTATATTTGGTTTCGCGTGACACGAAAGTATCATGGTATATTCTCCAAAAAAACTTATTGCTTCACATTCGTCTATACCAAATACTTGGCTCATAGAAAATGATGTGTTCGTTTATGTCGCCTCCCTATCGAAGAACTTTGGAGGATGAAACAGAACAATATTGAGAAATAGGTTAAAATCGAAATAGCATCGTGCCTATCATTTTGCTAAGCTGCTGCCTTGTATCGTGGAACTCCTGCGAGCTTCTGAACTCTACATGGTACAGGATCGTAACTCCTTGCCAGGTTTAAACTCGTAAAGCTTAACGCCACCACCGGACGTGGCGTTTACACTGACACGGTTGCTCGACACGCGCTGCCAGGATCTAAGAAACTCATAAAATTTTCGGTCAGAGTGTCAATCTTTATCCTAACGATAGACCACGGCAAACGTTGAACGTTTCACGAAATCCCTGATGCGATCCATGACTTTTTCACAGATTTGAAAATTGACCGTGTTGGAAAAATGTGATATAAAACGTTTATATGTATAGGTGTATAGCGTCATATATGGATTTATTCGAAATTTTGTTCATTCTACTATCGAAGAGACGAAAACAAAATTCACGTGTTTCTTTTTATAGACGATTCTATAGATTTCCACACGTGGTCAGTATTACCATGTAATATTGCAGATTGGCAATAATACTGCCACATGGATTGGTGCAATATATAGTAAGAACAAACAAACTATTCGATATTATTGAAGTCCTGTCAATATTTCGTTTTGACTTTTGCACAGTTTACCTTGTTCTGCAATGAAATTGAAAAATAGTTCCAATGATATTGACCCACAAATATCAAACATTATTGATAATACATTATTGCTTCAATAGTATTGATCCTGTGTAGCTACCTTAAAAGTGAATTTGGCACAGGAGCTGCTGTCATCGCCCAAAATAATATCTAGTCTCAATCCCTTCAAAAGTGTTGCAACAGCTGAAACATATGCATCTACTTCTCATGGTCTTAAGAGAAAAGGGGCCATCTTGAAGGCCGAAAATAAGCTGACTTCTAGGAATTTTTAGGTGCATTAAAAGTACGTACTTCGAAGAATATTTTTCATTAAAAAAAATTAAATTTATATAGAAAGTATATGTACTTCCTTTTTTTATTGGATTTCATCAATTCACAATTAAAATTAATTTTTGCAATATTACAATTTTCAGAGATAAAAGAGCTTGTTGAATTGAAATGACTCGAAACCAAGAACCTAAAAATTACGTTTATCGTAAATGAAACTTGTTAAAACTGACAGATAATGATCCGTATTATTGACTTCCACTCGCAAGCATATGCATTGACAATTTCGCTATAGTGCTTCAGCAAAGGACAATCTGGTTCCACTTCTAAGTGCAGTAGCGCGGTACATACTATCCTGCCCCAATTTCGCTGAAACCCGAACTTTTCAACTGAAGTAATTCTCTTATTGGTGGAAAACACGAACCAAATGACTATTGAAAAACGTGAACCAAATTCCGTATTCATTTCCGTATACTCTGTGTTTACCGCAAAGTGCATTTTGATCTTTTAGCGTTTACCTGGCGTATGTGACAGGCGGTAGAAACGAGATCTCGAATGTAATGTATATGCGGATCACATCACGAGCAGAAGACTGCGTCTGCGCGATAAAGGAAACTAGGTAGGCCTTAGCCCAGGTCGTGGCTTGAAAGGGGTGGGAAGCCAACGTCCTCTGCTGGTAAGATCGTTCCACCCTTAAGATTGAATACTTCATCTGGGAAACCTTCCCTCTTGTATCTTCGGGAGTTGCGAGCTTGTAAAAGGTTCCCTTGATTGATCAGGAATTCTTCAAAGTGGCAAAGTAAGTTTGCGATCACGAGAGTCGTCGAGGTAGAAAGAAATTAATAGATCAGCTTTTAATTAGACTTCAAGGTACACGTACAAGGCTACACAACTTGACATACAAGACTTGTAACCCAACGATTGTCTCGTTTCCTTAGGAAGGATTCCCTTCTACTTTTACCTTAGCTTTAACTGTATTATTAATTCTTTGAAAAATTAATTTGGATATTGCTTTTTATTTTTAATACAGAGTGAATAGAGTAATATAGAATTTTATTATAGAGTGATATCATGGTTCTGAATATCTGGAAAGTATTTTTTCTCTAAGCCAAGTTGAGAGGGCCATGTGCATCGATATTTAAGCACCCTCGGTAAGAACTATCCAAAAATATCCGAAGAGCCATCTGTTCGAGTTATGGTAATTTTATTTATCCGGCGAGCCAAAAATGTGTATTGCGATACGACACGAAACTCATATGACCGTCGACGTAAATAAACTGCGATTTATTTATGGAGGAACTATGCATCCAGAGTTGACATTTGTTTGAAATATTATGGTATACGTGTGGTGCACTTACTCGAAGCAGAGAAGGTTGGTAAGCCTTTATTTCTAGCAAATCATTGTTATATCTCAATAGACACTCGTTCGTCTCAAGACTTTGTCTTGAGAAATCAAGATCTGTTTAGATGTATCTATTAGTAAAAATAAAATCTTTCATTTCGAGATCTTGAAACTTCAGATTACAATATAATTTAGGTCAGTGACTTTAATGTTTACGTAACAACGTTTGCATTACCTGCGATAAAATTACCACTTTCCTTCCAGAAGCCCTACTAAACGGAACGTGTAATAGCTACTTCTCACATTAAACTGCGGACTAAACTCGTAAAGTGCATCTGTCGTATTTCCAGTTTTGCTTTAACCTTTCTAATTCCGTTACCTTTTCTTTGTGGCACCTAAATATTGACAGAATCCGCGTTGCCTCACAGACGAATTGTCCATGTTTATTTGCAACGTTAACGAGTTTAATTATTTATTTGAATTTAACCTCCAATTTGATTTTATTCTACCAATAGGGCAATTGTTCGAGCAGTTTTCAGTCGTTTATATCGATAAACTATTAAGGAAATGCAAGAGTTTTTAGGTGTAAACACGAAAGCTGCCTGTGAAGGAGAAGTCTTACTCAAACGGAGCGAAGTAGGATGCACTTTAGTAACGGAGGATGTGTTTCACGAGTTTACTACTCCAACTTGGAGCAAAACGTGAAACTTTGACGTGCATTCAAATTATGTTTTACATTTTGCGCTTCCACGGCCATGCGTTCAGTACGCGTATACAATTCTTCTCAACTTACGAATGAAGATGTAGAAAAGTTCACTTGAAATCGAATATCGAGTCAAAGGTTTATGATAAACGTCTGGTACTTGAATTCAACTCATGTAATTAGATCATTCCTCAAGTTCATGCTACAGATGGTGTTAAAGTACAGTAAGGTTAAAAACAAGAAAAAATTTTATGCTGACAGTATATTGACTTTGCCAAAAATATGATTACATTCTTTCATATTATTAGGGACCCCGAACAGTCATCGAAATGTCTTCGACTTGGAAAAGTTTTTCAATGAATAATCCAAGGACTTTTTTAAAAAGGGAATCAAACAACTGTCTTTACTCTGGCAAAGAGTGTTAGAAAATGATGGAAATTATTTTCTAGACAAGTATTTGAGATTTCTTTAATAAATACATGTTGATAAAATTTTGATTACTTTTCGGTCCCTCTAATGGTTAATGGTGTGTTTTACATATTAATTTGAATAGTAGAATAAATTCGTGGAATGACCTAATACATTGTAATTAAATATGAACAGTCCACAGAATTCAATTTAAACGATGAAATATCCTCGTAGAATTATTAACTTCTCGTTTCAATATTTTTCGTAAAAGAATTCA